GAGTACACAGCAAAACCATGCTTAGAGTATATGAAATATATATACTCTAAGCATGGTTTTGCTGTGTACTCACCCATGTGATTGTTTTGATGTGCAACGATCTACAAATTGATCAAAGTTACATCAATATGCAAACCACGATAAATTAAATTCAGGTTTTCATTCTCACGCACTTTAATACACTTTGTATTATTTATATAACACTCCGGTCCTAGTATTCCAAAACACTTCTACTATAATTATTTGTTGTCGGAAATAAACTTAATTGTCAGTAAAACAAACATGTCTGTTAAGTAAAGTATCTATAAAGTGATTGTTCACGAGATAAGCTGTCATATATGATCGCTATCGAATGAGAACCTGTAACTGTATTTAATTTACTATGATCATTTACATGTTTTCACTCTGCAACGCTCATATATAAATAAACCATTTACGGTTATATTGATTATATAAGCTCAAATCCAAATGTATTTGCGATTTTAGCTATTACTAGGTCACTGTATAAGAACGCTATCTCTACCACTTGGATGTTACAATAACTTGCATTTTTATTCATTATTCTCTTGAAACGGCTTGTCACTTGATCAATAAGAGTACATAAAAAAAGCAAAAAGGTAGTATGAAGTGTCAGATTTAAGGTCTTGAGAGGTTGTACGAGTGTTTTCCATGATTAATAAAAAAAGCTCAAAATTCGAATTGACTTTTTTTTTCTTTATCTATCAAATTAAATAACAGGACACTTATGAATAACCTTAAAATACTTAAATCATTTAGTATATCGCTCTTTTGCATATTAGGCTTAATTGGCTTATATTACCAATTTATTCAAGAGCAGAAAATAAATATTGTTAAGCCTAATGATCCCACATTAGTAGCAACAACAACTTTGACATCATTGCCTCAATTACCTCCTATACAAGATAAAGGAAGAATTTGGCCACCTGACCTTCGTAAGTTATTTTTATGAAAATTAATTCAATTGTAATCATCAATTGTATGTTAATTCTATATAAAAAATTTTTTCACTATCAAATTATTTAAAGGTTATGCGATATGTGTACCAAAAATATATATATATAAAATTCCATCTACCATTCAAATTAATGATGATAAACAACAAATGTGTAAATTCTCAAATTATAATGCTGAATTACTTCTATTCAATCAACTTTCAGCATTAAATTCATCATTACATAATTTATATGTCACAGAAAATCCCGATGAAGCAGATTTATTTTATATTCCATTTTTTGGAAGTTGTTATTTATTCAACTGTTGGATAAACAACAATTGGAATCAAACTGTAAGATGTGAAGTGGATTCAATATATTTAGAACCATTGATGAATTATATTATTCAAAATTTTCCTTACTGGAATAAAACTAACGGAGCAAATCATTTTATGATACATCCAATGGATAGTTCTGATGGATATTATGAAAAAAATTATATGTTCCAGAATGCGATATATCTTACAATAATTGGTGATAAGAGAAATACAGATTACCAAAAATTTAGAAGATATAATAATATTGTTATACCAAGCGCTACTCCAATATTAAATACTCATAATGTAGATCCTATCAAGTACGTTGGTAAAGATGGTAATCCGTTCGGTCGGGACATTAAAGGAATTTTTAAAGGATGTTGTGCTAATGTTAATGCAACAGATAGTTATTCTGATGGTGTTAGATATATAATATTTAATAGATTAAAAGGACTGCCTGATTGGGACATTGGAGAATCATCAGAAAACAAAGAATATTCTAAAGCACTTGCAAGATCAAAATATGGGTTGGCACCATCCGGATGGACATTGGACACTACACGTATATGGGAATATTTTGCGTTCGGAGTGGTTCCTGTCGTCATTGCTGATGGGATTATTGAACCTTTTGAGGACGATGTTGATTGGGATTCAATGATCGTTAGGATCCGACGCAATGATGCTCATAGAATTAATGAAATATTGGATGCAATTCCAGAAGATGAATACCAAAGAAAACGTGCGAGAGTTTGGTTGATTGGAAAGAACATGGTGATTAATTATGGTTATACTTGGCATTATATTGTTAGAAGCTTTTGTAGAAAGTTAAATATTATCAAGCAAGAATTTATAGATATTGAAAGATATACTTATTATTCTATTTGATTTTAAATTGTTATCTTGCCGACTAAACTACTCAAAAATAATATAATCTCGCATTTTAAGCCTCACTAAGTAATAAACGTGTTTTGTACTAGTTTCTATTAAGAATTTTTAATTTGTATGCATCATTTCATTGTTGTCAATTTGAATTAGATGAAAATAAAAAGTCGAGTGATAGTTTTAATTTTACAGTATTCTAGTAATCTTCTATTCATTACGGTGCATTGACCAAATTAAGATAAAATTCGGTCACCAAATCCAAGTATTTGGACCCCAAACGTAAAGATGGGTACCGAAATTCAAAAAGGAAATTAAAACAATAAATAATACGTAATCACGTTGTATTGTTGCAATTTCCTTTTTTGAATTTTTGCCGTCTCTCCTCATTTTCTTTCTTATCTTCCCCCTAACCTTATATAGTAACCAGGATTTCGTAATTACGCCCTTAGCATATTCCAACATGTGAAGATCCATATGAAAATTCATGTGAAGATCCATGTGAAAATCCTTGCGATAATAACATCAGGCTATTCACAGGTGAGGATGCATCATCTGGAGAGAAGTGACAGACAAATACTTCTACGCCCTTTGATGACCGAAATTATGTTTTTGATATATTTATAGTAGAAATAACAAAAATACAGTTTTGGTATTTTCGGATGTAACGCCCCTGAAAAATTTGATCTACAAGACTTTTCACGGGGGCTAAATCATTAAATGAGTTCCAGACTTATTTTGGCTCCCGGTTCCTAGTTATATATAATGCTGAAAAAGTGTACAATCGCAATGTCGTGCTTCGAATAATCATGAGATCGTCTGGATAATTACTCCAGAAATCATAACTATATCATTACGGCGCATTGGCGGAATTAAGCAAATATTTGGTCACCAAATCTGAAATAATGGTCACCAAACTTAAAATAAT